CACACACACACACACACACACAGTGGAAGTCTTCACTCAGGCTGGGATCACTGGCCAGGTGCACCCAGTCAGGCTGATTGACACTGCTAATCAGAACCTGTAGACAGAAAAAAATAAAAAATAAAAAAACAGACAGCCCAACCAAAACAAAGAGGTCCTCACACTGGTCACAAAGCATTCTCTGAATGTTCACCAAATGTGTAAAAATGCACACAGCATTATGAAAAAAATGCATCAAATCTGGCTTTATTTGGAAGTAAGTAAAAAAAGCTACATAAAAGTATTACTTTTATAAAGTTAGAAGTCCATGCTGTCCAACCCAGTTCAAATGAACGCTCTGTATGCTGCCATTTATTTGCAGTAGCCCTTTAAATGCATGACGTCTTTGCCCGCTCGACCTTAGAGGGTTAAAATATGTTTAACAACCTGTAAATATAGCAGAATGCAGGAAACAGCACCTACTTCATTCAAAATTTTCTGGGGGAGAACCTCCAGACCCCCCTCCCATGTTATGGTTGTGATGACAGTATCAGCAAAGATGAGTTTAAATGTAACACTATGTGAAAGAAATAACTGTAAAATCAGAAAGTAAAAGGTGGAAGTGAGAAGATGAGGGGTATAAACAACATTTAAATTTGGTAAACATCCAGGTGTCATCCAGAAGCTATTTTTAAAGGGAAAAACAGATTCTGGAGGCTTGTGGATTAAATTTACACAATATGCACTCAATTTATTTCTTGACTAATCAAAAGCATAATAAACCAAAAAACAAAGACTGGGAAATGAGTGAGATCAGCTGACCTCAGTTTTATCTTTGTGCTGTGCTCATTTTAATTCACCCTACCTATTTACGATTAGTAAAACCATTTAAATATGAAAAATGCTTTTGCAAAACTAATTAGTTAAAATAGTAAAAAAAAATGTAGCATGACAATTATTAGGAATAAAGACTTCTGGGTTCTGGTGCATTGGTGCGTTCGGGGTTCGATGAGATGAGATAAGATAAAACTTTACTGATCCCACAGTGGGGAAATTTGCACATTACAGCAACTCAAAACAGGACAGGGTGAGATAGAATAAAGATAAGTAATAGAAAAACAAAAAAAACACTATACTTGTGACATAACAATGTTCAAATACCTAGTACAGTACATAAATGAATATATATGCAGGTGCATATTAGTGATGGCAGTGTAGGTGAATTGTCCAAGTGGCTGACAACATCATGATGTGTTATACAGTCTAACTGATGACATCATGATGTGTTGTACAGTCTAACTGATGACACCATGATGTGTGATACAGTCTAACTGATGACATCATGATGTGTTATTCAGTCCAACTGATAACATCATGATGTGTTATTCAGTCTAACTGATGACATCGTGATGTGTTATACAGTCTAATTGATGACATCATGGTGTGTTATTCAGTCTAACTGATGACATCATATCCGATTTTCAGATGAAGGTCGGCATGAGCAAATACCAATGATAAAACTGAGACTGAGAATATAAAAGTAAATGATTTTATTTACAACGGTGCTGGGATCTGGGGACGGGACCTGAAACAGAGGTTTTGCAGAGATGAATAACAGGTAGGTTTTCCGATATGGTTTTGAGCAGTTAATAATTTGAAGATGAGGCTTACAGGTTGGTGAAGGATATGAAACTTGGAGGAGGAGGTCCAACAGGTGAAGTTCCACATGTGAGTATTTTACAAGTGCAGATATATTTACAGGGTTACGTTGGAGGCAGTGCATGAGATCCAGGTGAGTTTGGCTCGGTTTCCAAGGCGGGGGTTAAGGTGCTGGAGGTCTTTTCTGAAAACAAGCAAGCACAGGAAGAAAGGTAAGAAAAACTCTCTAGGAGACAACAAGTAGGAGGCTGAGCTCATGTCCAACAGAGGTGATGCTTCAGCGATGAGATGCACTCCAGCACTTCCTTATAAAGCCAGGAAAGGTGATGAGCCAACTCACTGCAGGTGAGGATGATTAGTGCAATGCCTAATCCGAGAGGCAGGGGGCGATAACATCAAAATACCTCAATACCCACTCCTCAACAATTGCCTCCTGGCGATTCAGAGACATTTCTCCGGATGATTCCTGTAGAAGGTCGTGATGAGATCGGGGTCCAATATGAAGGACCTAGGAATGCATGACCTCTCCTCCAGACCATATCCTTCCCAGTCAACCAGGAACTGGTGTCCACATCCATGGCGACGAGCATCCAGGATGCGACGGACCGTGTAAACGGGTTGATTGTCCAAAAGCCGGGTGGGAGGTGGGGTGTTAGTAGGTGGGTTCAGTGGACTCGTGGAGACTGGTTTCAGTTGAGATACGTGGAAGGTGGGATGTATTTTCAAGTTGGCGGGTAATCGAAGTCTGACAGCAGTGGGATTGATGATTTTTTTCCACGAGAAATGGGCGGATGAATCTAGGGGAAAGCTTTCTAGGAAAATCTTTAAGGTTAATGTCGCATGTGGAAAGCCATACCTCTTATCCAACTTGATAGGATGGGGCGACAGAACGATGACGATTGGCAAATCTCTGGTTTTGTTGTGCAGTGCGAAGGAGGGCTCTTTGGGTTTGGTTCCAGAGTCGTCGGCAGCGTTGTACATGGAGATGAACAGATGGAACCATATTTTCAATGTCATCTTTGGGAAAAAGTGGTAGGTTATATCCAAGAGAAGCCTCAAATGGTGAGTAACCAGTGGCAGAGGAGGTGTGACAATTGTGTGCATATTCTACCCAGGACAGATGTTGACACCAAGAGGGGGGTTGTTGTTTATAACGCACCTGAGGGTGGCCTCCAGTTCCTGGTTGCACCTCTCCGTTTGCCCATTAGACTGAGGATGATGTCCTGAGGAAAGACTGACCTTGGCCCCTAAAGCATTGCAGAAAGCCTTCCAAACGTGCGACATGAACTGAGGTCCTCCATCTGAGACAATGTCAGTGGGGATCCCATGTAGGCGAAACACGTGGGTGGCCAGTAGCTGAGCAGTCTCGAATGCCGTGGGGAGTTTGCTTAATGGGACGAAATGTGCTGCTTTGGAAAATCGATCAACAATGGTTAATATAACTGTGTTACCTTCCAAGGGGGGTAGTCCAGTAACGAAGTCCAGGGTGATGTGGGACCATGGGCGAGTAGGAATGGGTAAAGGTTGCAAAAATCCAGCAGGTTGTTGATTACGAGCACAGGTGGGACATGCTGCAACAAACTCTTTGATATCTTGGTACATTGTAGGCCACCAGAAATATCTTTTGGAAAATGACAACATACGTGACATACCGGGATGACAAGTGAACCGATGATTATGTGTCCAATCCAAAACTTTACCTACAATGTCTTTGGGAATGAACCTGGTACCAGGGGGTCCAGTACCGGGGTCGGGCTCAGACTGTTGGACCAGGCGAATCGAGTTTTCAATGTCCCAGGAAAGAGTACCCACGAAGCAGGAGGTAGGCAGGATGTTAATGTCCTTATCTGTCTTTTCTGCAGAAGAGAAATGTCTGGAGAGGGCATCGGGTTTAATATTTCTGGACCCAGGAATGTATGTAATGGAAAAGTTAAATCGAGCAAAGAACAGAGACCACCTGGCTTGTCTTGGGTTTAACCTTTTAGCATTTTGAAGATAAGATAGATTTTTATGGTCAGTGAGTATGATAAATGGAGCATCAGCACCCTCTAACCAATGCCTCCATTCTTCTAAGGTGTAGAGGTAACCCTGGTGAAAAAAACTTTTCTATTGTTTATTTTCCTTGTCTTTGATTTTATTTTTTACACTTATAAGAAGAAAATCATTTTAAAGTGTTTTTGTTTTCTTTAAGTGAATAGGACAAAGTCCTACATATATGTTGTCTCATTTAATCTTCTATTA